ACAATATAAAGTAGCTTGTAGCTTGTAGCTAGCTACTTTTTCCAAGTAGCTTGCCCAGCTTAGGGATGTTGAAAAAATATCGATATATCAAATAGATGATATTTTTCTTCCGATATATCGATAATATCGACCGATATTTTTTGTATCGATATATCGATATATCGATATATCGATATTGAAAGTTGACTATCGGTACTCGATATATTTATCGAACAAGATCCAAAAAAAAAATCACTGTTCTACGCTCTAAGAACTTTTTAAGGTAATAATTTCGATTAAGAAGCTTCAGCTCGAGCGATCCAGAGCGAGTAGGAGCGTTATCATAGAAATATTTAAAAAAAAAAACCTTTCTATAGTGGCCTAGTGACAGTTGTAGACAAGCAATGACATTAGACATCCAGAACAAATGAAAATGAAAAGTATTCGTTTTCGTAATAATTTATATTTTTTCTGCGATTGACAAGAAATGTCAGCATTTTTGACCGGTTGACAGGTCGCAAAACTCAATATTCTGGTATTTCAATTATGTTTCAATAGTTGCTAAGGAATCAATGAATAACAATACAGGAAACACTTTTCCGGCCTAGGCCGGGAAAGTGATTCTCGTATTGCCGAATAATTGGAACTAAAAGACAAACATTTAACAGGTATTTAACCGATCGCAGAAAAAATAGTATGTGTATTTCGGTGGAAAAGCACATTCTCGGCCTTCGGTGCTTGCCGTGTCAACTTACACCGTCGGCCGAGAATGTGTCACTTTTCCACCTAAATACACAATATACTATTGTTTATTCATAACTTGCTTGTAAAAAAAAAACCCTTTCACGGTATAACTGGTACAAGTACAGAGATAAAATAATACTTTTACTTAGGACCGGTTTCCCAATAGCAAGTCACCCCTCACCCCCTGGTTAAGCATAACTCCAGGGTAAACATAGCAACTGCAGACGCTTTCCTTGGAGTTAAAACCTACCCGAAGGTGACTCACTATTGAGAAACCGACCCTTAATTGAGAATTTAAGTTTATTGTCGATATATCGAAATATCGATATTTTTCAACGATATATCAAGCGTTCGATACAATATTAATTTTAATTATCGATATGATATATATCGATATTTTTTTTCGATATCAACATCCCTAGCCCAGCTCTGACAATTGTCATTGTCACCGTCAATTTCAAATACCAAATTGAGTAAAATTATTACCTGGAAAGTTGTGACACTGTCACTTTCAATGCCTAGGCAGTAAAAGTCCACTTTTACTGCCTAGGCAGTAAAAATACAACTTTTGATCCTGTCAAGCGTCATTAAAAAAATTTGCAGGAAGCGTCTCTTGTGGCCCTACCGCGACCGCTGTCGAGGGCAAAGCGCCGCAGGCGCGAAATTTTTGGGTGCCACGCCCCTTTTTCAGGTTTCTTTACGCTATTTTTGGGACTGTTTATCTTAATTTTGAAGAAATATACATAAAATTTAAGGGTTCTGGGGGGGGGGGGGGCAAATGCCCCCTTGCCCCCCCCTGGCTACGCCAGTGCATCAATGTACAGGGTGGGCCAATTTGGACACTTTCTTATGGAAACACCCTTTATTTTTAGAGTGAGAAAAAAATGAACCCCCCACTCTGAGGCTCAAATTTCATGAAATTTTGATTGGTGCAAACCGCATTTTGATATCTTCAACCGTTTAGCCGCTAGAGGGTGATTCTCGATTTTGAGCAATAATGTGAAACCATCATAACTTTTTTGTTTATGAAAATTATTGATTTCCGTAAAAACTTTCTTGAAGCACTTTTTCAAGCAGAATTCAGCGAGGCTCTCAGTTTTTTTCTAGCTGGTCCCAACGTCGAGATATTGACCAAAGTCTGGTTTTTTCCAATAGGACACCCTATACCTATATTAATAGCTCATTAGAAAGCCCTGCTTTTTCCGATTTCAATGATATAAAGTTCGATATGTTTATCTCTAACAGTTTTCGAGAAAAAAAATATTTCGGTTTTTGTCATAAGCTTAGCTACTTTTTCAAAGAGGTAGTTGAGCTTCTGAGTAACTTAGCTACTTACAATATAAAGTAGCTTGTAGCTTGTAGTTAGCTACTTTTTCCAAGTAGCTTGCCCAGCTCTGACAATTGTCATTGTCACCGTCAATTTCAAATACCAAATTGAGTAAAATTATTACCTGGAAAGTTGTGACACTGTCACTTTTAATGCCTAGGCAGTAAAAGTCCACTTTTACTGCCTAGGCAGTAAAAATACAACTTTTGATCCTGTCAAGTGTCATTAAAAGGCTGCTTTTACAGTCATTCGGAGAAAAAAAAAATTGGTGTCTAACTATTGTTCATATTATTCTCACCTGAAATAGAATCCGTCACTGTCATCAATTAGTTTGTCAAAGTTATTCTCGGAAATGATACAACGAACAAACACAGCTAATAATTTTGACCAATTAACCTTTTTCCAACTTGAAAAGAAGCAAATAGAAAACAGGTACCCAATTCAGGTTCAGAATGTATTACAACAGACACAAGATGCGAGTCTCACAACAATTGCAAGTAATAAAATTCCCATCTGATTGGTCAATACTGCTTCAGAAACGCGTTTGTAAAATGCTAGTGGAAACATATCCTAAAATTCAATAATAAACCACCAGTAGCTTTTTGTAGGTGATATCAACGACATAATCAATGAACATACGTTTTTTGCCACCGATATCACGTGACTTTAAAATGGTATTTGTCGGACTTTAGCAATATTGTCAGGTGAATAGCGAATTTATTGCCGGTGTAATACACTCTAGTGAAATAGTCGCTGAAAAACCATCATGTTGGTTTTGTCCAGGTAGGAACAGGTAGAAGTTTTGTCAGTAGGAAACTGGCCGTTCCTATTAGTCCAGGAGGTGGCGTTGAAAACATGCTAGAGTTTTCGCAAGGCTGATATTTTCAAAATAGGTCGTACTTTAGTCATAAAAGGCTAGTGTACAGTCAGCACTCACAGTTCCGGGACAGCTGGCGTTGGGACGCGCGCAAAGTTGTTATTTTAAGATGTATCTAACTGTTTCCTCAAATCTCAAAATTGATAGAAATTTTGCACATTATCTTTTTTTTAGTTTTTAGTTTATTTTCCAGAAGAAACTTCTTCCAGAAAATGAGTTTATTTCTCTTATATCTAACATCCAACAATTGTACATAAGTTATCTAGCTAGTTATTAAATTATTCTATATATATTTTTTTTTTTCTATAAGCACCTAGATGTGAAACATCTGTATGTGCAGCATCGCTAAGCAGTGTTTTTATTTGTATTTGTAGTTTTTATAATTTAAGTGTACATTAAGAATTAAGAGCAAGAGAGAGAAAAAAAAGAAAAATAACAAAGTAACAGTTCACATATTGGTTGGTTTTACAATTTATCAGTCTCACACAAACATGCAGACAACAAAGTCTGCCCTACAAACACCACGGAACACTTAGCTAAAAAAACCTTTCAAATTGATGAAGACTCTCATAAATAACATTTTTACTTAAAATTTTAAAACTTCTTATTGAAGAGCAATTTCTTACTTCCTGTGGCAATAGGTTGTACAGTTTAGGGCCAAAATAATTTATGTATCTTAGATTAAGATTATTAGTACTTATTGGTAGTTTAATTTGCCTGTCGCACCTCGATCTTGTTTCATAAGTATGATCAGCTAACATTTTCATGTTAGGTCGAGTGTGTATATAGGAGCAAATCTTGAGAATATATATTGATCGAATGTTAAAAATGTCTCTGTCAAAAAGCAAATGTGTAGGATACAATCTATTTTTTTTGAGAATAATTTTTATTATATATTTTTGTATTATGTTCAATTTGTACAGGCTGTTATTATAAAGTCCACCCCACACCAATATTCCATATCCTATTATTGATTCTACAAATGCTTTATAAACTATTATAAACGTTCTTTTATTTAAAAATTCTCTCAATAAATAAAACTTATGAATGAGTTTGCGAATTCTATTGGAAACATAATCAATATGTGGTTGCCACTTAAGAAATTTATCAATAACAATTCCGAGGTATTTCGTTGATGGAGTTTCTTTAATACAATGGTTATCTACGACGATGGAATCATATTGTGGTCTGTTTGCACCAGAAAGTGAAAATGCTACGTAGTTCGTTTTTGCTAAGTTTAATGTTAGCTTATAAGATTGAAGCCAGTTCTTAATTTTCGCCAAACTATTCACGGTCTTATTCCTTACACTATCCCAGGTATCTCCTGAGACAACCAGAGCCGTATCATCGGCATAAGATACAGTTACGCCCTCGACCTGCAACCTCAATAATGAGTTGATGTATGCTATGAAAAGTACTGTTTGAAGGTCACAGATAACGTGTGTAAATCGTCAGACGTCTAGGTCGCTGCGAAAAGGGTTTCAGACGCCCTGAAAGTTTTTATTTTATGGCATTTTCTTCGGTGTCCTTTGAAAATATATTTTTGCAGGTATTTGACAAATATATCTGAAGAAAATGCCATAAATTAAAAACTTTGAGGACTTCTGACTCCCTTTTTGCAACGAACCAGATGTCTGACGATTCGCATACGTTATCTGTGACCTTCAAACAGATAATGTGCAAAATTTCTATAAATTTTGAGCTTTGAGAAAACAGTTTAAATGCTTCTTAAAATTACAACTTTGCCCGCGTCCCAGGGCCAGCTGTCCCGGAACTGTGAGTGCTGACTGTACACTAGCCTTCCAACACTAAAGTACGACCTATTTTGAAAATATCAGCCTTGAGAAAACTCTTGCATGTTTTTGATGCCAGCTCCCCAACTATATGACATTTTGCCAGTGTAAAACACTCTAGGTGAAACATTCACCTAATCACAATCTGATTGCTTCAAATCAACAATCAAAACATGTCAGTTTATTGTTGGAATGTCAGTTTTGACAGATGTATGAAATTCTCCTAAAAAGTTGAACAAACAATTTCAGGAATGCTGAAAGAAAACCCAAATGCCGAAATAAAAGCCGTTAGTTATTTAGGATTATTGAACCAAAACTATATTGTCTAGATAATAATTACCACATTTCCCAAATTAAATTAAATGCGACAGCATCTAAAAAAAATTAATAGTATATTACATGCGAAGGTGGAAAGTGTTTCATTATTGTCGAGAGATACTATGGCTCCAATTCTCGAGACAATAATGCGAAAACTTTACACCGAATTATGTATACTATTTTATTTTGAACCATTATTTATTTTTAAAAAAATAAGGTAAAAATATGACAAAAATGGAATTTCGACTGACAGTCTGACACCGACATTGACATCTTATGAAATTTCAACAATATAAACACATGAGACATCTACTTCTAAATACAAACATTGCACCTGGATTTGTGTTTAGGTGTGAAAACAATTTATCAGGGCCGAAAGTGGGTTCTCCAGGCCGAAAGTGACACGAGAACAGTCACTTTCGGCCTGCTTTAAAGTAAACAAAAATAAAGTGCGACATTTTTGAAGCTTCAAACCAGTAAGGAATGTGAAAATTACATACATGGTTCAAAATAAAAATATTTGTAGGATAAAATAAAAAATTACTCTTTAGCTGTTCTTCTGTTTCAATGAATCCATTACTTATTTTCAACGCCACAAAATTTATTTCTGGAACAAGCTCGAACATTTTGTGTTTAATCACAAACAATTTCACTAGTTTAAGTTGCTCATTTGTTATTTCCTTTTTGTGTTTTTTTGCTTCCTTGCGACAGAAATCATAAACATTTGCAAACATCTCCACAAGTTCAGCGCAAATGGCATCTTCGCAAATATTTCTGTTCTTCTTAAAATAATTTGTTTAGTCTTTGTGGAACACAAATGAATATAAATACGCTTTTAGGCTATTGTGTAAATTTTAATAGGTAAAAGAGCGGTTTCAGCTGTCTAAAATAGTTTTAATTAAAGAAAAGAAACATGAAGAAAATTTAGGAGCCTCCCTTCGGTTATAGCCGATGTAGGTACCTATGCAGTTTTAGTTTGTTGATAAAGTTTATCATGTTACTACTGTAGTATACAGTGGCGCACCCAGAAAATATGTTTGGGGGGGGGGGGCTACATAGGTTGTGGCTTGTGACTGAAACTCTAAAAAAAAATAATTGAGGTATCAGGGTGCCACGCCCAAAATTTGCCACAATTTTTTATACGTAAGAATACAGTTTTGAAGCGGCGGCCTGGGAAAGGGCCCTGGCCCGATGGTGTGCGTCACGGTCCAGGAAATCTGGGAAACTTTGGAAAATGAAGAATTTTTTGAAATATCCAGAAACTTTTGAGCTTCAAATGTACTAAAATTTGATTGAAAACAACCCAAAGATAGCGAAGCTACGAATTTTTCAATCCCAGAGAGACACTGTGATATTTTTACAATATAAACTATGGCCTGATTTTTTATTTTTTTCCTAGAAATCTGGGAAACTTTGGAGAATGAAGAATTTTTTTATATATCCAGAAACATACCAAAACTTGATTGGAAAAAAAAACAAAGATAGCAGAGCAGCTACGATTTTTTAATTCCCAAGAGACACTAGTGATATTTTGACAATACAGATTATGGCCGGATTTTTTATTTTTTTCCAGGAACAATGGCGCACCCAGAAAATATATTTGGGGGGAGGGAGGCCCTACATAGGTTGTGTCTTGTGACTGAAAATCTAAAAAAAAATTCAGGGAAGTCAGGGTACCACGCCCTGAATCTGCTACATTTTTTTATACCTACGTGAAAATAAAGTTTTGCAAGGGCGGCCTGGGGGGGGGGGGGGGGGGGGCTGGCCCGATGCCCCCCCCCCTGGGTGCGCCACTGGTAGTATAACATACCCGGGTTCGTCAGTAAGATTGAACGATCAGAATTTTTATTACCTTTTAAACAGCAAATCTTCTGAAAAATGAAATGAAAAACAAATAGGACCTACGTTGTGGAAACTTACTCAATTTTACTTACTGGACATGCGCCCGATATAGCAAATATTTGGGAAATTCAAGGGAAGTTGTGATATGTAAAAGAAACGAAAAATTTGTGAACGTCTACTTCATTATTAAAGTAAATCGTACCGTTCTCGACCTAGAACTCTAGAGAGGAAACAGAACGGCAGAGAAACCCTCGACCTAACATTCCTCAAAAATCGAAACATACTGTGTCATTTTACTAATAATTGTGAGTCATTAATTCAATAGTTTAAGTCAATAAAAGTTTAAATTAGGTACCGCCTTTGGTCTTTGTGCTAAAATTTTAATTACACACTCAACATTCAATCAACATTACCTATATTCAATACTGAAGAGTTTTTTCGTTAGTTAGCCAGTTTCCCAGCGGATACTGCGGTCCCATACGGGAAGCTACTCAGCTATAGTTGTTTTTGAGCCAATATCTCTAGATTGATTATTTCAATTTGTTAGGATATTCTCTCGTCAGGGTAGGAAAATGTTAGTAAATTCAACAAGGTTCTAATGCACGCTCTGAATACACAAAATCAAAATCTCAGCACAAAAAGACAGCATATAATTTCTTAGGTTTTAATGTACTCTTTATCTATCGATATCGATTTTGGTTAAATACATAAACAATGCGCATGTTATAAAAAAATGTTATAAACGAACAAAAATACATAAAAATGAACAAAATAATAGGAACTTGCATAAATTGAACTCTCAAAAACAAAATAACATTTATTCCACTAACCTGTGAACGCTCCTTACACACACACTAATAACAAATTGGATTGAACTATCAATTTTAATGCAAAATAAAAATGAAAATTGAATAATGAATAAATACAGACACGCGAATGCTAACGGTCCAGCCTCAGCTTGTTCTCTAGTCTCTCTAATACCTAATCGCCTCTTCTCTAGCTCCCGTTCGCACTACCGTTTCTTGTGGCTCGAACGCGGCGGATACATAGTTGCAACATTTTACTTTTATTCAGTAAACCGTCTTTAGAAAAATTAAGATTAGAAGAAATAAAATTTTAAATAGGTGGTTTTCCTCACTAATTTCAGTGCCAATCCTGTTGATAACCTAGTTTCTCCAAGCCTTTAACGTAATAAACTTTGTAGATACCTGAAACCACTCTGCTTAAATCAATACTTACTCACCCAACAACTCATATTAAAATCACGATTTTCAATTCGTTCTAAAAATCTCAAAAGACCGCAAATTTTCAGTATGTCATCTACGGTGCCCTTGGCTTTGATGGCTTCAGCTAGCATTATGAAAGATTTTTTATTATCCGACGCTAAGGATGATGCATTTTGTTGAATTTCAACCTACCCAACATAAGAAAAAATTAATATGATTTTTTTTCTAAACATCAATAACATACCAATTCTTCATTATTATTTTTCCTTGTTTCTTTGCAGTCTTCATAATGTTTATTCTTTTTCCTTAGACACGTGGAAATTCGCGCCTTTCTAATTATTCTTGTGAAAATTGCTTTTTTATTTTTCTTTCCTCGTTCGTATTTGTCTTCGCCAGCCATTATCAATGTTTTCTCAAATAATTTGTCGTAGAATAAATTATTGCAAAATTGCTGCTCTTTTTCGTAAACACTTATTACTGACATAAAAAAATTGTTGGAGTTTTCATTATTCTTAGAATCGCAAAGTTCTAAACTTGTTATTTTTTTGGGTAGGTCATGCCAGTTATCCCTTGCAAAGTTTAGGGACCCATCGCGAAAAGTCACTTTGCAGTTTTTGTATTTTTCAACAAAACTTTTTTCTGAATTCGTTAAAACTAATGGTTGCTTTTCAAACTGTGCCTTATTTGTGGTTTTTGAAATATTTATTTCCATTTTGGATTCATTTTTATCAAAATTAGAAGCATTAGTTTTATATAAAACCTTTACAGGGTGTTTACAAATGTTTTTTTTGTTGAATACTTCAAGTTTCTTATTAAACAACTCACAACTATATGTTAATTCTTCCCTGAATAAGGCAGCATTCTTGAAGCTTTTTGAAGATAAACGACGATTTGAGGAATTTTTTGATTTAATACTGCTATAACCACTTGAACTTTTTCCACCAGACAAATCAAGTTTCAGGAAATTTTGTTTTAATTTGGCTGTAGTATTATCAAGTGATGTTGACTGAAAAGTAGATGTTGATAAAGTTGGTCGTTTAAAATGAATGCAATTTGAGATGTGGTCAGATGATTTTGAATTTGAGCTTAAAACTTTCAAACAGTTATTATTATCATAGGAATTTTTCACTCTAGATGCATCCATATTATTCTTACTTAAATTATCACATACATTTTCCATCGCATTCCTACAATGAGGACAATTCCTGGAAAAATTCCTGCAAGAACACCATTTATTTTCATCAGCAATAAGTTTTTGGGCATCGGGAAATAATTGGCAAACTTGAACTAATGTGTTCGTAATTGTTTCTTTAACTAATGAATCATCAGTATCCAATTCTTTATACTTTTTGTAAAATTTACATGAAACTATTCTCAGTTTGAGGAAATGTAGCCATTTATGGATGCAAATTTGTACATTTCTATTAGCGTATTCATTGGTACAAAGGGCGCAAGGTTTATTAGATATTTTAGAAACCGATTTTAGAGTTCTTCGGGATTTTGGCTTTTGAAATCTGTAAGATTGATTTTTATTAAAATATGCCACTTGTAACGTTTTTCTAAATCAGCTTTGGTATCCATACTTTTTTCTGCTTTTTATATTGTGCGCTTTGTCATTAGACGTTTTCAACCTGATTCAAACTTTGAAGGTTGCTACGTTTATCTCCAGTGCTTACAGGAAAATTATTGCAGAAGATCTTTCTTGAACAATGAATAATGAAAAAGAAGTACTTACTTAGATGAAACCATCAGTATAAATAAATGAGATTAATGATAGAATAATATAAAAAATAAGGTTTCATCAATGTGAACCTACCCCTACCAACCTGATTGGAGAACAGGCAGATGCTTTAAGTACTTGGTTCAATGTTCCAATTGGAATTTCGGATTTTGTATTACTACTAAAACCCATAGCTGCAGCATTCCTCTTCAATTCTGTAGGAAAACCCAATGTTTCGCTCCTTTTTTGCTGGCTTTGACCTACCGAATTGAAAATAACAAACAAAAATGAAAGCAACATGACTTACCAAAATCCATCTCCTGGTCTTTGGTTATTCAACAAAATTTGTACAATCTTTTTAATGGCAAAAATACTGCTGTGATTATGGGTTTGAAAATGCTCAATTGTTCGTGTTCATGTTTAGACACTTTTTCTTAAAAAATAAATATGCAGAAAAAAAAAATGTGTCACTTTGAGTAATTTGACCAAGTGTTGACAACGTCATTTAAATTTCCGTGAGTTATATGATTTGAACGATAGCATTATTTCCTAAAGTCCACCACACTGCTGAAAAAAATTAGGTGGAAGAAGCAAATTTTTATGTTAATTTTTGAATGAAATATTTTTGCTACATTCACCAATAAATTTTCATGATGCTTGACTCATACGCAACGGGACTGCTTTAACGACATGACCAGCAACTTTTACCTCTTCTATGTTCTAAGAAGGTGTCTAAAATCTGTTTTTTTTTTTAAGATAAAAGTCAAAATGACATTATGTTGGCAATACAATGTAAAATTGTCAATGCTTTCAAATTTTTATGTAGAAAAGGCTTGTGTTGCCAACATAGTTACTAAATTTTTGACTTGGGGAATTATCTTTAAAAAAAAACAGGATTTAGCAACTTCAGATTTTTATTTCCTAAAAAACCCTCTACGAGCTCACTATACTCATCTTTAAATAGACAAAATACCTGTGGCTTATTCCTGAAGGTTTGAAAGGTCCATATACATGGGAGTCAATTCTCGCTCCTGGTTTTGTAGGTATTTCTTTCTCTGAAACCAAATTTTATGTGCTTTGCCAAAAAAACAGCCTCAACATCAGTGTTGCCAACGTGTTTTTATATTAATGTTATTTATTGCCTCTGCCTATTGATTCTCTCTTGAGAAACGTTCTACTGTCGATCTTGGATTGATGGAAAGCGAAAAAATTTAACATTGTCTCTATTCGAGCGGTTCCCACATTTCGCAAGTCCCTCCACAGATTAACTCGTCCTAAAGATAGGAAACTTCCATGTAAAATGTTCGTTCGGAGCTGTCTAAAAAATTACACGTATGAGAGTTTCATGACTGCCAAAGCTATGCGGCGCTAGTATAGCAAAGCCACAAGCAAATGTCATCTGTGAAAGAATGTAATTTGTCATTGTATTTGCCCATAGAAAAGTGATTTATATTCTTGATATAGAACGCTCACTTCTGTTGTAGTCGCCAACTGACATTTCCGATGGTGCTGCCATAGCGGTGTAGTCAGTGAACTAAAATTTGGCGGGACGTTTGAATCTCGGTTTTAAATGACTGGTTTAACATTTAACATTACAATTATTTCAAAATCAGGCAGTGCTCCAAAACTACATAAAATAAAAAAAATTATATTTCATTTACAATACAAAACCAAAATTTCTGTTTCTGTGTTGTTTTTGATGTAGATCTCTCTGGTCCGTGGCTGCAATTTGCTTTTGGCCGATTTATTTTTTGCCGCCTGGTCACATATTGTGGCAACAACTCACCGGCTGCTTATGATGATGCACTTATCACTTCTTTCACAGTCTTGGAACTCAAAACAATCTACGACCATGCACTCAACAAATTAATTTAGATGACAACATTGAGATGACAAGATGACATATGCATTATGATGTTAAATGGAACCCTGCATTTTCATGACTGGTTTTTATATCCACGATTCTATATCGGTCATTGTCATTTTCTATTCACTAAACAAAGATAGCTAACTCATCGGTGAAGTCAGAGGTTAGAATAAAAACGAGGGGGACGTTCAGAAACGGCGATATGGGCGCATAGCGGTGTAGTCACGAACTAAAACAAAAAGTGGAGGGGATGAATCCAGTGAATGTTTTTTAAGAATTTATAAATCACTTTTCTATGGTATTTGCCATTAGTCAGCCGTTTGATGTGTGTCAGTGTTCTTCTTATTCAATGGTGTTTTTTATTTGATTTTCTATCAATTTTTGGTAAAACTTTGACTTTTTAACACGTTGACTGCCATCATGGTATCAAAAAAAAAAGTTCCGTGAGCCAAAAAGGGAAATGGGTTGAAAATGTCTGCCTCAAAGTTTAAAATCGATTTTATCCTAATCTTATACTTATTTTTCGATTTTTGATAATTTTTTGGCACTTTGATTTTTGAGAAGCACGTGTGCACCACATGGCCCCAATAAGCATTTCTACTTTAGAGGGCCATGTGGTGCAAACTTGCTTCTCACGTGAATACAGTATAATCGCGTCCAGACTTGTTTACGCTCGCTTCTCCAACGCCCGTGCGGTGGGTTATTTTTAGTTTCCAGTCGAATGCGGCACAGAATAGTATCGTTGAATTATTTGCAATGTCGTACGAAACTGAAACAGCGCGTCTTCAACGTTTGATGGAGGAATTTCTTTCGGACGAAGACAGTGATGATAGTCTTCGAGATAAAAACTATACAGAATCGAGTTACGACGAAAGCTCCAGTGATTCATCAAACGAGGTTCCACAAAGAAAAAAACTCAAATTATTGCCAAGTTACAAAGATATGCCCTCAACGTCAAAAAATGCAGGCGGAAGTTCTACAATAGGGGACATAATTGAGAACGTTATATCGCAATACCAAATCACAGAGGATGGAATTTCTTCAGAAGAAGAGTTAGTTGCTGACCAAAGAGAACAAATATTATGGAAAGTAGTTGATGGCGAAAATTTGCACAATATTCCCTGTAATATTCAAGACGCAGGTTTCAAAAATGAATATTTTGAGATGTTTGATAAGAAACCTCACGATTTTTTCCAACTTTTCATGGACGATGACATTGTTTTATTGATCGTTGATGAAACCAATCGATATGCTGGTCAAAAAATTAGTAAGGGTGGACATGGCCCAAAAGCAAGAATACATAAGTGGAGCAACACAAATAAAGAGGAAATAAAAACCTTTTTCTCCATTCTTATATGGATGGGCCTAAAAAACTTACCAAAACTCAGTGCTTATTGGTCTAAAAGTGCGCTGTACTCAAATAAAATATCAAGTCCTCGCTTCTCCGCCGCCGAATTAGTTGTGTGTGTAAAGTTTCTTGCCATTTCAAATTGCTTTTTACCCAGTTTATACAAAGTTTTAATTAATTTGTGTGATACCAGCAGAACAGCTTGAAAAACTCTACCGAACTTGTAAAAAAGGTAGGTGGAAAAATCATTTTCTATGCAAGAAAATCTTGATAAACATACAAAACGTGAAATCTACTGATAACATAAGGGCTACAATCGAGTACCAAATCTGTAGACACACCCACGACACCCACTTCTACCAACAGACAGCGTGGTTCCACACAAAATTGATATGCGGAGCTCGGTACCAATCGGTACTTAGTTTCCTTCAATACGCTAAACAAGTATGTGCTGCTCGATTGATCCCCAAGGTCTAAATACATCGCAGGAACATTAATGGGGGATCCAACGTCATTTGCGGATATGTTTAAATTGCTCTCGGAGCAAAATAAAGAGCAAACACAGAAGTTAACCAAGCAGATTCAGGCTAGCGAGTCAAATATCACCAAACAGCTTGATAATTCCACAAAAAAAATAAAGAAGTTAGAGCAAAAAACACGTAGTCTTGGAAAGAAAAATCCGAAGAAATAACATTTTGCTTTTTGGACTTCAAAAACCTCAAAGTGAGAATAATTTAATTAAAAATGCAATTGACAAGCTAAATGAATTGCTCTCCTTAAATATCAAACCAAGTGACATTAACAATATCTACAGACTTGGAAAAGGAGAATCTTCTCCAGTACTTATTGAGTTCATATCTTATTTAAAAAAGTCTGAATTGTTTAAAAACGCCGATAAACTCAGAGGTTTAAAAGATACAGGATATGCAATATCAAATGATCTTTGCGAAGAAGACAGAAATGAACTAAAAATCCTGAGGCAGCACTTTAAAAAGGCTAAAGAGGAGAACAAGCAGGTTAAACTTACGGGCCTGAAACTACAAATTGACGGTAAAATCTATACTGCAGAGGATCTACACCAGGCAGACTCCGATTCCAATACTAGCGATACAGAGGCGACAGAATCATCAGAAGACAGTACATTGGACGAACACAAAACTACAGTACCCAAAGAGAACAGGAAAAAAAGGAAGAAAAGCAAAACCCTCAGTCCACGAAGTACAAGATCAACCAAAAAACAGCGATAAACCGTACATTTTATTTTTTATTTATTTTTTTCTTCTCTTATTTTTTTTTATTTTCTTATTTTCCCAAAATTTGTATCTACTTCATATTTTTAAATAATTTTGTTAAAACTGTCTAATAAATTAAATTCATTCCAGCTTTTATTAATTGCGTTTGTGAAATCTTGACTTGAGCTGAATAGAATAATTTTATTATTATTATTATTTTTTTTCTTCTTGTAGTTGAATAAGCAGACAATATCTATTTTGAGGGTAAGGTAATTAATAATGGATCAATATATCCAGGATTTTGAGTTGAATAATATAGAAACACAAATTTGTAAGACTGTTAAAGACTGTAAATACATATTATCAAAGACTGAAAGAAAAAGAACGTTTGAGATTTTTCGTAACAATATCTCTAGTTTAACGAAACATTGCAATGAATTGAAAGTCACATTGTTTTCATTAAATAGACAATTCGACTGCATAATATCGTCCGAAACACATCAACTTCAAGCTCTTTCACTCTTAGAGATAAACGGCTATAAAATGATATATAATTACGGAGATTTTAACAAAAATGATGGGGTCGTTGTGTACGTTTTGCAGGACCTGGATTTTACATATGAAGTTGTTGACTTTTGCCATACGAAATTAATTAAATTAATTATAAGAAAGGAAAGTAGATAACTACGCCTAATCGCTTTTTACAGGTCACCTTCTACGGACGTAATGGATTTTAACCATTGTCTTTACAGATACCTAGGTGAATTGCAGAGAGACAAGTTCGACTATGATTTATTTTTGGGCGACATTAATATAGACTTATTCGAAACAACAGCATACAGAAACGAATACTTGATATTTTGGAAGAATGGGGCTTCTTGTCAACTATTAATGCTACAACAAGAAAATCTATAAATAGAGAAACATGCATAGATCATATCTTTTTCAAGAGCCAGAATAAACCAATAAATGCTTTGTGTTTCCACTCCACTATATCTGATCATTATTCTCAAATACTACAAATAGAAACTTGTTTTAATTTAACGGATACTAAGTGCCACAAAAAAAGGTACAAACAATACTTGGACAAAAATCGATTGAATAATAAAATTAGGGCAGTTGACTGGAATATAGTATATGATCAACGAACAGTTAACGGCTCGGTTTTAACGTTTTTAAACATTTTAAAAAAAGCTGTGGAGTCTAGTACCCAAACAAAAAAACTAAACAGAGACGAAATTCAACGAAAAGACTGGATAACATCTGGCCTTATAAAATCTACTGAGAAAAAAAATATATTGTACAAGAAACTTCAAAAAAATCCAGAAAATGCAAAACTAAAAGAAGATTTTAAAGTATATAGGAACAATTTGACTGACTTACTAAAACTAGCAAAAATTAATTTTTATAAAAACCAACTTGAACAAAATAAAAATTGTAAAAATAAATTGTGGAATTGCCTTAAAAATATTAACAATAAAATGACAACAAAAACGAATACTGTAAAAAAAATAAAAAACACTAACAATAACGAGCTTATAGAGAGTAACGTGGGTATGGCTAATATCTTTAACGACTACTTTTGTAACGTCGTCGGTAAAAATCTTTCTAAAAATATCACAATAGACAAAAACGCAATATTTGAAGAAACCAAATGTAACACAAAAATTAAGATAAAACATACATCTCCAATAGAAGTATTGGAAGTTATAAACTCCCTTAAACAAAAAAAAGCACCAGGACCTGATGGATTGACTTCAGAAATTTTAAAAGAAATTGCAGAAATTATAAAAGTTCCTCTGGCACATATTATTAATAAATCAATCACGCATGGAGAATACCCTTCCCTTTTTAAGGAAGCTATTGTTAAGCCACTGTACAAATCAGGTGAAAAGTCCGAAGTTGCGAATTACAGACCTATATCTCTGATAAGTAACTTATCGAAAATTTTCGAGAAAATACTTAAAAAACAAATTGTGGAACATTTAGAAGTAAACAAACTTCTTTCTGAAAAACAGTATGGCTTTAGGAATTCAAGATCAACTGAGGATGCAATATCGGACTTTGTTACAAAAGTAAATAATTCACTCGACAATGCTGTCCCATCTATTTGCATCTTCATTGATCTTGCAAAAGCATTTGATACTATTTCGCATACTTTAATGGTGAAAAAGTTGCAGAACATCGGCTTTGCAGACAAAGATTTGAAACTTATGGGAAGCTACCTGAGTTACAGAAAGCAACAAGTTGAGGTGAATGACGTTCTCAGTGATCCCCCCCCCCCACAGGGAACGGTTCTTGGCCCTCTCCTTTTTATTATATACGTAAACGACCTTTTTAAAGTTATGGGAGAGGCTGAGGCGACGGCCTTTGCGGATGACGCTGCCTTCTATTATAAGGCTGAAACATGGGAGCAGCTTCGAGAGAAAATAATACAAAATTTTGGAAAATACATTAAGTGGTTTAACAATAATATGCTTACAATAAACTTCACTAAAACAACTTTTGTACCATTTAGTAGTTACAGTAACACACTACCCCCATACCAATCAATACAACTTTTAGTCGACTCAAAACTTATTCAAATCAACAGCTGTAAAAACTATAAATACTTAGGTGTTTTTGTAGATTGTCATT